TCAATACATTTGAGTAGGACTCTCCTGCCTTGACAAGTCTTGCATCATAGGACAATCAGGAACGAGTGGGAAACGAGTAAGGGGCGAGGGGTCTATCAGACACTAGCTGGCTTTACTTTAGCTTTCGCACAAACTTTCTTGCTAGGGTGAAATTGCTACAGGAGCTATTGGATGAAGATAAGGTGGTATATTTCAGAGTTATAGACCACTTCATTCCAGGACCCTGCCACTGACAGTGAAGCAGACAAATGCCGTATGTTCGTACCCAGGTGTGCACAGTCTTCCCATCAAACACAGGTAATTCTTTTTAAATGAGTGGGTCTTTTATTTGTGTATTTATAATTTCACTATTGATCACAACAGCCCCTCCAGCAGTAAGACTTATGCTGTAAAGTTTTAGGAGTAATTTTAAATTTGTGGGAAGGAGATATCTGTAGAAATACTCTTCAGAACCATCCCATCTCAACAGATTTGCCAAAGGAGGAAAGACAGAATGAGCCAGAGCTGAGTGGCTGGTCTACTTCCCTGCCTATACATACACTGTCCAAAAATCACTTAGCAGGAATTTGCTAGAAGAACTACAGATGTAAAATATTGTTCTTTGCTATCTAGAAAAAAAAAATATTTTTCTGAAAATGTTGTAAGAAAAAAAGAAATCTTTCTTTTTAGGAAATCAACTGTGTATTACTAAGAGGATAGTCTATTCTCTAGATATCTTTCATTTGACTTTGAAAAGTTAAAGATAAAGCTCCCTGACAAAAATAAAGTTCTTAAATATCCTACATGTGGTTCTATAAAGAGTCTATATCTGTATGTATATTATCTTATGAGTAACAATGGTTAATCAAAACAAGTCAGATTCTACCTTTTCACAGAATATTAGCAAGCTTTGTATTTTAAGTTATATTGTTTAAAATAAATAAAAAACAAACCAACCCCATTTTACTAAAATAATTCAAAACATAACTAGTGCAATCTCAAATCATGCTTCTTAAAACAGATAAAGCCATTAGTACATACATAATATATCAAGAATCACTTTGGTTCAGTACCAACTTCATTCAGTTACCTTGTGATGCAATTACTGATAGTATTTTCTTATAAAATACTAGTTTGCACACAGATTTTGCATTTAAACACAATTACTATTCTGCTCAGTTACAGGAAAAAATAAGGGAGTATTTAATAAAAGTTTAAATTTCCATTCTGCCTCTGCTTTACTCATACTTTATATTTTGAGGTCACTGTCAAAGAAAAGCATAAGTCTTAACATTTAATGACACCACTCTCGCAATGTACATATCTCAACTCTTTAACACAGCAAGTTACTTGCAATGGGAAATCTGCTTTTCTCAGTAAACCAATACAAGTGCTAAATTTTATTGCTTAGTCACAAGGCAAACAAAAGAAAATATATCAGAAACAAGTCATATAAGCCTCTTTTCTGTTCAGTAACCCATATATATTAATTGTTCTTCTCCCAGGATGCAAGCTGAAGTCAAGTTATCAACCAGAGTGTTAAAACAACTAAACAGACTCAGATTTTCCCCAAAACCGAAGAAAACATTTTTCTTCCACATTTTTTTTAATTTGAAGATGGTGGCAAGGGTAGAAGAATCAGAGTATTAAATACTAAGCAGTAATGTTAAAAATGTCTTTTGTTTACTCAAATAGGCACACAGAGAATATTTTAAATATAACTTAATTCCAGTGTTAATTGAAATGAAAGCTATTTTGTGCCAGAATTAGTAGAATGATTTTACAGTGAGGTCAAATAGACTGAAGTGAAGATGTTTTGAACAAACAGCAAAAGATTTCTGTTGTGCTTTGAAAGAAATGGCTAATAAAAAGGTCTCCAAACTTACTGATTTTTTGTTTTCCTTTTTTTCTTTTACGGTAGCTTTATTCAGTAGAGAGTGGCAAGTTGCCTACAGAACAGAGATGAGCACAAACAAGTCACAGCACCAACTACATACAGCAACAAAAAACCAATGTTGACTTGTACATAAATTACACAGTAAAATGTAACAAACATAACCAACAGAAAATGAAATATATAAACTAAAGACTGATGATGGAGTTTTTATTCCACAATTTTATTACATCTTATTTACAAAGCACTAAATACAAAACAAGCAAATGTTGCGTTTCAATCATTTCTACTATTTCTGGCTAGATTAAAAGTCAAACCACATTAATGTGCTCATGATATACAATATTGGGCATTAAATGGTATATTCAGCTTTCAAATTTATTTCACCATCCCCAAATAATTTTAATAGTAAAAATAGTAAAGTGTTATACCTTTGAAATACATATTACTTTTAAAATAAATTTAGAGTTTTAAATCTTCCCAATGTTTCTCTGTGTGTCCTTCAATTTAGTTAGATCTGTGAATCATCATGGTTATTACTACTTTAATAGCTAAACACTGCCATAAAACACTCTGTGGAAAGAGGAAGAAAAAAGCCAGCGGGTCTACATTAATTTATTATAGATTTACAAATCAAGATATCTGACTTGATTGTGCTTATTTCTGCATTTCATTTAAAGGCAATGGGACCCACCAAGAAGCATCACATTCTCTCATATTTCCCATCAGGATTTGAGCAAAGCTATAGTACATCAGCCTTGTGTGCTGCTCCCCTGTACAGAGGTACATTTTGGTCTTGGAGCTCAATCCTACATCCTTCATATTAGCTGTAACAGTAAATTAGCATCCCTGAGAAGCCCTACAGCAAGCAACGCCTGGAGCTGTATCAATAGAAAGCTAGCAATATTTAGCAGTTTGAGAGCAAGCATGCACCAACAGTTCAAATCATCTTTACAGTATCACACAAACTGGAACTGGAAGAGAATTTCTACAACTTAAGAACGTGACAGAGTAAAAAGCAAAACCAAACCAAAACAACACAACAGTAAAAGCTATTCTGCTAACCAAGCTAAAATTAAATAGTTCAAATTTGTGCAGGACTTATTAATATTTAAACCAATGGTGCCTCTGCCAAATTTCTGACTTTGTGTAATTTCTACAGTTATCTTCTGAAGCAGGCATATACACACTCTATGCATCAGGCTATTGCATTTAAAGCAAGTAAAATTTTCATATCTCTTTATTAAGAAAAATCACGTGTTTGTGTGTTTTTTATTAAATAGCCAGCAAAAATTCTTTGTACGAGTTACTTTGATCAGGCCTGTTCGTGACCACATAACACTCCTGAACATACATTACCTGAAAATGAGCAAGGGTGAATCTGTCACGATAACTAGTTATTTGATGTTTCCAGCTGAAAACACTTACTAGGGCTCTCTGTTCTGGTAACAGAAACGCCAGCCAGCATAGACCCCAACATCCAACTAAATACACCGTTTCCATAATGTTGCTACATTGATTAAAATTAGCTACAAATCATTTACAGAACACACCTGACGAGTACTTTTTGCACACACATTTACTTTAAAACTCTAAGCATAAAAAGACACTGCAAAATTCAGTCTCATTTACTATTACACTATTGCTTGGGATGAAACACATTCACCTTCCAAAAAAATGAAGTTACCTTATAAAAATGACCTATTTGGTTCTTATGATAAAAACGGGTTAATACCCCCAAAAATTCAGATTTTAACTGTACTTTCTTTCAGATAAAGGCCAGACTCTTCAGAACTCTCTGGAATTTGAAAGTACAGAATGAATTATTGTACTATTTGTGATGAACAAACATTTGTATGCAAAAATACGTGTTACTAGAAACAGTTAAAATAGTAAACATTGAAGCTGAGTATCAGTTAATACCACTTGTATATTTGCCAGTAAATCATCTCTTTCAGGAACAAGTTACCCTTGTTACCAAAAAAATGTAAAGTCAAGAATAAAGCCAATAGACTTGATATGCTTTCATAGAAGAATCTCTGGCACTGCCCGCTGGTGAGTACATTTAAGTAATTCCATTTCACGTAAGAATTAAAAATGGTTTGCATAGAAATAATTTCTAGCAATGTATCACTGAAATGGAAATGAATCTGATACATCCTCGTAACAGCATATAAAAGCAATTCTAGGAAGAGATGTGGGACAATGTAACGCCAAGTAACAGGAGCAGCAATCAAGGCTGCGTGTGACATTTTCAGTAACACTCAACATCTCTGAGACTGTGGCAGAACACGTGAACCGGGAGGAAACCAACTTGCCCCCTCCCATTTCCCAATTTAAAAAACCAACCAAAAAAAAAAACCAAACAAACCACCGCCCGCCAGCCTGAATACAACCACTGTCGGCAAGAGAAACTGATGACTCTAGAAGCCATTTATACACGTGGTTATAGAAGAAATAAAGGCACATCATTTGCGTGCCTAATTCATTCCAACAGCTCACAATAACAACCCAAGATCCACAACAGTCACAACATACAATTCACTGTTTCTCACTTCCATGTTTTGAGAATTGCAGTAGTTGCACTTACTAATACAGCATTCACTGTAAAAACAGGACTAGACTACACTGCGTAGAATTTATTACTCATAATTGGTTCGCACAGCTCAGAAAAAGCTATTTTCCTTGCTTTACTTTAGACCTGAGATACAGACTCCATGGTTGAAAGGCCAAAAATAGCTCGTCCAGACCACTTAACTGAGACTACAGCTCAAATATTCTGCCAGGCACAGCTCTTCTGTGACAGTCCTCCAACAGGACTGGAAATTGTATTTCCTACGAGCCTTGAGGGCAGCAGGAGTATCCCCCACTGGAATTTTTAGCAGCAGCTAAATCCACCAGAAACACACAAAGAGCAAGAGAGAGACCTATAAGCATTCTGGGCTCAGCAACCTGCTGCTGAGCTGCTATAGAGAGCAGCAGAAACGGGACAGAGCAGAGGAATCGGGGATGGAGGCCGGGGAATGCAGGTATGGGAGGCGGCCAGGAGGGTACCACTATAGAACTTACTCTACAGAAGACAGTGCACCACTCAGGAAGGTTTCTTCTCTTTAAGCATCATTTATAAATGATACCAGAAACAAGCAAGAAGAGGGTGGTCCCAGCTTGGTAACTTCCCAAGGTTTGTGTGACAGCACTAAAGTTTTAGCCACAAATAGAAGTCAGTCTCTGTAATTTGCCTCATTAAAAGAACTCTGTAAATACATTTATCTGTCTCTTCCATGT